ACGCGGCGGCGATGGGAGCTAGTGGGCTGACAGTAGGTTTTATAAGAGGCGTGGTCCATGTGGCAAAGGCGTGACCATGAATCTTACTCAGAGGCATTTGCCTCGAATTAGTCAGCCAGACGCAGGGGAGGGCGAATAACGCCTCGAGTGGCACAGATGGGGTGGTAAGGGTCGAGTGAAATATGTGAACCAGGGAGAGAGCAGACGGATCTAACGGGCAAAAGAGAGACTTTGGTAAGACCTAGGGAAGGAGGACTGCGTATCAATATTGCAGATTCTGATCAACATTCCCAGCACAAGGATGAAGGGGGGTGAGAAGGCCAGCGTGGAGTGCCGAGGGTTCTCATGAAAGCCGCTCAAAGGGCACACCGTACTAAATCTAATAAAGCAAGTAAAAAATTGTGACAGTGAAGGTGTGATATGAGGTTATAGGAAATGTGAATAGTCCAGGACAGAATGGGAGATACCAGAACTGTTTAGCACACGTTTGATCAAAGTATCGGCTTCACTTATCTATTTGACGAGTTGTAATATGGTGCTACGAATGGCAAAACTCACTGACGATGCCGGCGAAATTTCTTGGAATGTACTACGTCCACGGTCTAACTTTGAAAATGATTATGCATACAATGAACTCAAGAAAAGGTGACTTCCTCTAATTCTTCTTAATAATATGACCAAGTTGCACAAACAAGGTCAAACAACTTCTATATTTTCCATAGTTGCTTTTTCTCTTCCCTATAATTACGAATCTTATACGACCTCTATTAATGCTACCAAGTGAATTTTGGTAACTGATTTTATGGGCTTGGTCGAGTGCAAATCCTCTATTAATAAACCCCCTCCATGTGACGGACTTCGATAGTGCCTTTTTACTAAATCTTATATTTGTAACCTTTTAACCTTTTTCCGTTCATTAATATGGTTATATTTATGAGAAGGGTGAATAAAATTCAAATTTGAAACCTCTCTTGAATATTTGGCAGCCATCAAGAGGAAGTGTTTAACTAATCTGACATTAATGAGGGAAATATTTATGGATTTAAAAATACTCCTGTTTAGGGTCACATACGTTTAACGCTTGTATAGTAAATCTCATAGATAAACCGCCACAAAACGACAGTTTTCGTAATCATGAACATATGCATGAAGATTCCATGGGAAGTTGGAGCTTCACTTTCTACATGAATTCACCCATTCCTTGAGTTGACTGACTTAGAAGACTATCCTCCCTTCTCTGGATCTGCTTTTTCATTTATTTGCCCATTTATCACTTGGCCTTGGCTCATTGCAATCTTTATTTTACCGCATGAGTCCAGAAGACCGGAGAGACCCGTACTCATGGCCCTAGCTCACGCGGCCGACGCATGCAGAACGTCAATCTGACTTCTGAGGCCACTATGGACAAGTCATTTGGGAGTACTCAACAATTTCATATCACTGCTCCACAGAGCCAGATGGGAGTAAACTCTAGTGTAGCCACACCGGCAACTGTTCAGGTTAATCCTTCTAATCGTATGATATCTGCATGGCATAACCCACCGCCTTCCATTACTATCCGAGAAACCCCTGCTGGATTTAAGAAACCCTACATTATTCGTAGTAGCCAGCGGCAGCAGTCCAACATAGACAGATTTGTTAACTCAAGAATGCAACTAAAACTGTCGGATTGGCGCGGCCGACTTCATTCGGTTATAGTAATCAGAAACCCAAATAAACCCAGCTTCCTGCCACCTCAGCGTTTCACTGCTGGTGGACAGCTCTTAACTGGTTCAGACAATCGGATGATCAAGCGAACCAGAATTGAAGGGGCAGGTTCGAAGACAGGTCAGAAAGGCCGAATAGGAGAGGAAGGTGAAGATAACAAAGAGGTCGATTGGACTTTGGGCGGAACTACTTCGAGGGCACTTTTTACGTCGGGTGGGCAAGATGATGCTACAGGACAGGAGCACTGGGAACCATCCACCCCTGAACAGGATGAGGAAATTGGCGAT